GGGGGGGGGGGGTGTGGGTGGGAGGTGTGTGGGTGGGGGGTGCGGTCACGGTGAAAGATCCGCACGGATGGGTTCACGGGAGATGAGATGTAGTTCACGCACAGAAGGGATTGGCTGGGGGACGACTGAGGAAGCGTGGAGAAATCCCCGAGGAGCCGGGGGGAGGCTGTGGCTTTTATGGCGAGGAGCGCTTAATCCGAAACTACAACACGTCTCCCCCCCCCCCCCCCCCCCCGTAAAGTGGAAACACATTTACACTGTAAAAAAGGGGGGAGGGGGGGGAAGAAATTCCCCAGATCACTTAAGTCCACAAAATCCACAGATGTAGCGAGGACCACCCCCCCCCCCCCCTGGCTCCCCCCCCCTTCTCCCATCGAGGCATTGCGATTACCAGCAGCCAGGGCTTATTTACCGTGAGAAACACGACATATCAATATTTACCGTGAGAAACACGACAGATCAATATTTACCGTGAGAAACACGACATACCAATATTTACCGTGAGAAACACGACATATCAATATTTACCGTGAGAAACACGACATATCAATATTTACCGTGAGAAACACGACATATCAATATTTACCGTGAGAAACACGACATATCAATATTTCCCGTGAGAAACACGACATATCAATATTTACCGTGAGAAACACGACATATCAATATTTACCGAGAGAAACACGACATATCAATATTTACCGTGAGAAACACGACATATCAATATTTACCGTGAGAAACACGACATATCAATATTTACCGTGAGAAACACGACATATCAATATTTACCATGAGAAACACGACATATCAATATTTACCGTGAGAAACACGACATATCAATATTTACCGTGAGAAACACGACATATCAATATTTACCGTGAGAAACACGACATATCAATATTTACTGTGAGAAACACGACATATCAATATTTACCGTGAGAAACACGACATCAATACCGGAGCGCGGGCAGTCCCATCGCACAAAAGTGCGGCGAGCCACGACTGCCGGGTGGCAACACCACGCGTGTGAAAAGTGGTGAGCGATGAACGGCGAGCGGATTTTGGATTCTGCGTGGCGAGTATCATGGTAGGGGCCCGGATAACTGGCATCAGCGGTGTCGGTGTCAGGAACCGATCTGTGCCCAGATTCCTGTACCGGGGGGGGGGGGGGTGTTGTGTAGAATTTAACAACACACAGGTTAGATGACAACCACAAGATGAGCGTTAGGCTCGGGTTGGCTATCGTCACACCGGGAGTGTTACACTTGGAGTGGTTCATCCTTGAGCGGTGAGTGGCAGCAGCAGCATTCAGACGTGGAACGCTGTGAAGAAGAGCAGAGCGTGAAATCTTTCATTTAAAAAAAGGGGGGGGGGGAACAAAGCAAAGCATTGAAAAAAATTCTCGAAATGATGAACGAAGCAAAGTGCTGACTACACGGAGCATCTTCTTGCTTCCTCTGATCGTAAAAAAAGAGAGGGAGGGAAAGACGGAGGACGAACAGAGGGAGGGGGGGGGGACAGATGGAGAGAGAGAGAGAGGAAGGGAGAGAAAGGGAATGAGGAGGTAGCAGGAAAGAGCGAGTGGAGGAGAGGAATGGAGAGAGCAAGGGAGAGAGGGAGGAAAGGAGAGGGCGGTATAGGGAGTGAGGGAGAGGGAGAGTGAGGTGGAAAGGGAGTGAGAGAGACGGAGGGGGGGTGGGAGTTGAGAGCGGCAGGCAGGCTGCCTGGCCAGCACACCTGGTAGCGCTTACGCTACGAGGCGAGGGTTCGCGATGCGAGCCGGGGAGATGAAACGCGGTCTAAATGTGAGCGCCGTCACTCACACACCCTGGGAAAGGCCACGGCAGGAGCACCCCCCCCCCTCGCTGCCGCCCCCTGCACCTTCCCTCCCTCCCCCACCCACCCACCCCATCTCCTCCCTCCCCCCATTCCCGACCCCGCGATGCCGCAACACGATCCGGCAGCGCCGCTGCCCACGATATTTAAGGTGACAGCGGCCATCAGGCGGAGGTGACGGGAAGGCTGCACGCGCTCTCGGCTTGCAATCCCATCACCGAGTCCCCGTCCGGTTCGAGCTCTTGGCGCGCCGGTTGAATCCACGGCGCGGGTTTCTCGACCCCGCTAAAACAAAATCAACTCGAACCATTTGGGGAGGGGGGGGGGGGGACGGCCCAACGTACAATTTGCCGCGTAAGAGATGGCGATGGTGGTGATGATAATATCGCAATTTAAAAACGAATGAGAAAAATAGCCGAGGAATATCAGCTGCGAGGATGGAGTTGTGCCCTGCGAAGGGCGTGGGCGGGGGGGGGGATGGAGTGGGGGGGGGGGGTGCAGGATGGGGCGCGTCTGGTGGCTCGTCTCAAGTTGAGTTGTTTACCCAGGGCTTAGCAAAATGGGACGACCGGAAGGCCGAATACAAACAAACGCTGGCCCGCTGAACTCCCAGACTCCAGCCGAACGACCGCATCAGCCCCGGCAGTGGCGGGCGGACAAACACATATGCGAGCCGCGTGACACCCCCACCATTCTCCAACGCCTTCCAAGTGGTGGTGTGGCCGCCCAGAACGTTTGGTCCGAACCAGAGGTGGGATCTGGAAACTTCCCCAAGGATAACGCGCGCGCGGTGATTTCCATAACACACACACCTCGTGCAGACCGAGAACTGTGGCGTTTGTTCTGTGGTGGTCGAGGTCCGCACAACGATGACGCTCATCCGCGGCGTTGTCATCTCTTCCCCCCCCCCCCCCCACCGCAAGGGAGTGGTGGTGGTGGTGGCTCGCGGAGTCCTCCAGGCGCTCGGCGCGAACCGCGGCCACCCCGACATTGGACGGCAGCGACGTTCAATTAAGAGAGCGTTAATCATACAGGTGCTGGCTCCTGGCTCACATCCCACATCACATCACTGACCCCCCCTCCTCCTACTCCTCTTGCCCGTGTCACACGACGCTAATGTGGGCGAGGCAGGTGGCAGGCACCGGTTTCCCCGCGGCTCAAGCGCCGGTCGCTTCGTGGCTGACGGCGCGGACTCCACACGGCGTTGAGAGGGCGCCACGCGCGATCACAGGAATCCGTCGACTAGCTCGGTGTTCCGTTGCTGATTAATTATTTCGCCTCCCCCCACCCCCCCCCCAGTCTAGGAATGCCGCGTGTTGAACGAGCGACGCGCGTCACGCGCGTTCACGTGGCGCACTCCGCGCGTGCGCGTGCGTGTCTAGGTCAACCTCAAATTAGTAGCTGGTGCGGTGTGTCAACATCGACACTCGGGAGACAAAGGCGGCTGGGCGTGGTGCTGGCCACCCACCGCATCGGGCGCCGCGGTGTCCTTCATTAGGTGCTGCTCACGAACAGCATAATTAGGATGGACACTTGCCCCCCACAACAGTCTGTGAAAGTTATTCGGGGGGGGGGGGAAGAGGCATCTTTGCGTGCGTGCGTGTGTGTGCGTGCGTGCGTGTGCATGCGTGCGTGTGCGTGCGTGCGTGTGCGTGCGTGCGCGCGCGTGAGAGTGGCACACGTGGCCCAGATTCCCTCGCCGGGAACTGACGCCGCTCTCTCCTCCATTCTTCATGAGCCCAACACCAGGGGCCAGACACACTCGGAGGCCGTGCAGACACCGAGAGGGTCAGCGCAGGGCCACAGTCTATCCACTGCTGGATGAAGGCCTTCCCCAACGCCGTCGCCGTTGCTCAGGATCCATCGAGCGCTTAGCCACCATCCGCCTCACTCGCGCACCACGAACCGATCGCTGTCCCTCTCCTGCAGCTGCCATTGGGTCATCAGTCTCGCCCATCGCACCGTCGGGTGACCGTGTGTCCTGCTCCGAGCCCATCGACTCGAGGAGTACATGAGGATTATGGGGGGGGGGGGTGTGCTGTTGAATTAAGTGGGGGAGGAAATATTCCGATTTTGCTTGGGGAGGCAGAGGGCGGCGGCGCGAGACGGAAGGAGTGTTGTGTGCCGACTTGACGAGTGACGCTTTAAAATGAAACACTCCCAGCGCGCGCTGAGAGCCTGGGGCGAGCGAGGAGCGTGGAAGAAGCGGGCGTGGGGGATTTGTCCCCGGCGATTGATCGACTCGTCCCTGGCGAGCCGCGTTCGGCTGAAGCAGCAGGGGGTGAAACATTGAAAACCTCGGCGCCGGAATTTCTTCTCTTCTCTCAGCTCCTACTGCGCGCACCCCCCCGCCCCGCCCCCCCGGCCCTCACCGCCCCCCCAAACCGCCCCACCCCCCTGGGCCCCCCCCACCACCCCTCCGCCACCCCCCACCGCCCGCCGTGCCCTCTGAACGCGAGCCGGAGGCGCGAGCAGAGCGCTGCCGACAACAATTTCCTGGCGGCCTCGGTGATGTACGGAGGTGGTGGTGGACACAGAGGCGAAGGATCCCCGCCCGCCCGCCTCCCAAGGCCTTTCACAGCTTTGGGGGCAGGGTTCGTAGCACAGTGTGCTAAATCACTGTGCCACCGCTCTCCATAACTAATGTACACACGCACACGTGTCCGCATGCACGAAGATCCCCGTGTAGCCTTAACAGACTGTAGGGGAAAGTGCTGTTAGCGAGCACCAATGAAGGCCAGAACGGCACACGAGGGGGGTGGATGACCAGCACCACGCCCGGCCACCTTTGTTTCCCCAGTCGCGATTTTTACACACCGCACTAGGTACTAATTTGAGGCCAGAACCGGTTCAGATAATCGTCACTGGTGTTGGCCGTGAGCGGGAATCGAGCTCGAGTCGCCGGGTTCGTAGCGCTGCGCGCTAACCGCTACACTACCGCTCCCCACCATGCACGCACACAGACACACGCGCATGTGTCCGCATGCACACACGCCGACACACGTGTCAGCACTCACACACACACACGTGTCTGCACTCACACACACACACACGTGTCTGCACTCATGCACGCACGCACACCAGCCCGCCGACGCTTGTGTGTGGGCCACCAACTCCGCCGCCTGCCCCCCACCCCCGCTCACAGCACCGACGTCCACGCGGGATTCACTTTAAAATGTTTCTCTATTCGGAAAGGAAGAGAACAACAACAAATCTTTTGCGTGACGCTTACAAATAAAATTAAGATAAAACAGATGTCGGCGGTGATCGGTGAACAGACGCAACAGGCGTGGTTTAGCATGAGGGTGAAAAACATTATCTACAGAGACAATACTCATTGTTGTAATAATAACAACGGAGCCGGGAGATTCACATAGACACGTGGGCGAGCGATTGATCGGCGACACGTCCGGCGTGGTCTCGGCGCGACTGCCAGAGCACGTGCACCGGGGGTAACTCCGCACGCACCACCGATCGATCTGTAGGTACGGGGCAGAACAGCACCGCTCCCAACCCCATCCCCGCTTGGGATAAACCAACATCACCCACTGCCACCTCTGGTACGGGGTGGGGGGGAGGGGGGGTGAGGGCCCCGGCCGCATTGAAAAAGGGCGAAATTCACAGTGTGGAAGCCCTCTCCCCACCCCCCCCCCCCCCCCCCCCCCCCACTTGCCCCCTCTTCCTCACGACCCCGTGGTTCGCTGTGGCTATAGTTACAGGAAGTTGCTTGACTTGGACATTAATTACTGGGCCAACTCCGGGCTTATTTAGGTCGGGGAAGCGAAGAGGAGGGGTGGGGGGGTCAGAGGTCGCTTGGCTTGAAACCTCGAGCGGTGCAGTAAATCGCTGACCTCACCACTCCGTGCCCGATATTTAGCGCAGAAGAACAGGCGGCACGGCCGACTTTATCAATTACAATTCCCCCCCCCCCCTTCCGCCCTCTTTAAAATTGCCACCACCCCTCTTCCCCTCCCATCTACCCCGACTTCCCCTTTCTCTCCACACATTCTTTCAAGCAATTTGGCAAAGCGCTGGCTAATGGCGAGCGCTTTTATGGAGCAAGCGTGATTGGTAGCAGCGCACGGGACCCTAAAGACCCTGGCCACGGCCCAAATTCATCATTGGTGTACTCTCGTCTGAGATTCCGTGTGCTCGGGGATTTAAACCCACAGAGGAACCTCCCCCCCACCCCACCCACCACCACATACCCCCAGGTGGTGCCCCCCCTCCCACACGCTCACACGGGATGAAGCGCGGAACGTCAAACACTTGTCTCCCCGTGTTCTCAATGCAGCACCCCCATCAATACCCCCCACCCCCACCACTCCCGTGTCGCCTCTATATCAAATACAGAGATTTCCAGCTCAAACGAGCATCTCCCGTTTAACAGCCCTACAGAAGCCAGTGGTGGGAATTCCTCATTGCAGTGGCAAGGGTCGAGTCTACCCACAAAAGACTCCCTCCTACAAAGCGGCGCTAATTTTATCCACCCCGGAGAGGGGATGATGGGGCCGAGTCGACCCCCTCCCCCCCCCCCACCCATCCATCAGGATTTGAACTCGCGACCTTCCGTTCGTGTGCCGCTCACTCTGCCGCTGGGGCCTTTCCCTATATACAGCGCACACCATAAAAAACACGATTTGTCGTTGCGATAGAGACTGTACATGGGTCAATACATTTTTTTGCGGAGGGGGGGGGGAATTAAAAGATAAAAAAATATAACATTCAGTGTGTTGGAAAGAGGAACTAAAAAAAACGTTCCAGCGAAGAGGGCCGCGATTTACCACCGGACCTCTCCCTCTCTGCAAGGCACACGCGCGGGCCCGGGGTTCTTCGCCGCTCGGAGGGCGCCGTTGCGCGACAGTGGACGTGGAAAATATCCCGGCGAAAAAGTGGGATCCGGTGACTCCACACGAGTGGACGAGCGGAGGGGGGGGGGGGGGGGGTTGTTTTGGGAAACGAGGAGGTCGTGGCGATGGCATCTGGAAACACAATACAAGGATCACCCCCCCCCCCCCGCCACCCCCCCCCCGCCGTGCCCTCTCCACTGCCTCGGGAACGATCGCCAATGTTTAATGTTTAACACCAACCCACACGGTTTTTGTTCTCTGTAGAAAAGCCGCCGTCAAAAACGCTCCTCGTCTTATTGCCCCACACGACGCACGCCAGTCGGCCGCTCTCGGTCCGCGGCTGACGTTCGCCGCAAGCCCCTTGCGTCGGTTAGCACCGTGCCCCGGGAGACGCTCGACACAGCTGGACCCCGGCACATGACCAAGGCGCCTGCCCGCCCGCCGCCTCCAGCAGTAGCCGCTGGTGCTGCGGTGCGCTACGAGAGGGACCGAAACGCATCGGTCGATCGCGGCGTCGGCTTGGCAGCGCGCGGGCTGGCGAATGTGGCGCGAACGCGCCCGAGCCTACGCTTGTTCGTGTGTTATTATTTAAGAGCGCGCGCAATTGGCTGCCACGAGTGATTATTAAAATCGGCCGAGGCCCGCGCGTACGCTGTGCGCGCAGGTGCACGCAGCGAAGCGAATTCTACGCTGTCAAATTATATATATAAAAAAAATCAGAAATATAAACGATCGGTTTCTTGAAACGATTGCGCAGAGCGCTGCCGTGCGGTGTGGCAAAGCGAAGAGCGGGTTTGCAGCTGCGCCCGCGTCATTGCATAGCAAGGTGAACGCCCACCACTGGCACTGCACGCCGACCGCCGGTGCCGGCATTCCGGAATCGCAGCACACGTTTTTTGTGTTTCTCATTTGGAACCTCGCCCCGGCCCGTCGTGCTGCTCTGCAAGCCGGCTCGGAGCGATTGTCGTTTTTTCCTCGCGGCTTAATCCATGGCGTCGAGCGTTCGGCCGCGGAGTCGTGTGGGACGGGGTTCACGAACACGTCGCGCTTTCACGGGCCGCTCGCGGTCGTTGCCGTGCGGCTCCGAGTTCGCGCTCACGACGCGGCGCTGCTTTTTCCGCCGCCTGCCGCTTAGGAGCCGCGGGTGCTTTCCAAACCAAATATGACAAAAAACAATCTTAATTTTATCCGTCGCTCGCTCTCTTCGGTTAGAAAAAGTCCCCGCCTGGATTTGCGCGACTCTCTTCGTGCGAATTGATGCTCTGTGGGTTCATCCGTCATGGCTCTCGCGAGGATGGATGCGTCTCGTGGTCGGGACGCAGAGGCACTGCACTGTCACAGTTCACGGACCATGTTTTACACGCGCTCATCTTCATGAATTGCCAAGTGGTTCCTTGAAGTAAAGTATTGACTGCACTGACGCCCTCTCTGTGGCACACGATACTCAAAGGGCATCAGGCGACGGCGCTGCGGCTTCAAAGACTATGGGCGCAAGGTATCCCCATTGTCACTCTGCTGTTGATCGGAAATCAAGAGGAAAGTCTCATACAGTTGGGAGTCTTGCACCTGCCAATAAATTCCTGCTGATTGTGCAATACCTATAACCATTTACGGATTATATCATTAAAAACGGACGATAATGGTAATAAACTAAGCATCTGACGTGCTGCAATGATGAGCGGCGAATCACAGCTCGGCCTTGATGGAGAGTTCATTCGCCGTCGGCCCGTCGCTGTCCTCCAGAAGCGCCGTCTCGTCAGAATCCTCCTCTTCCTTCTGCTGCCCCGCGGCATGCTGGGAGCCCAAGGGGGGGGGCAGCACTTGGTGGTGATGCTGCACAGCACTCTGGGAGGCCGGCGAGAGGCTGCCCGCAGCGTAGGGGGTGCCGGCGTGAGCGTAACGCTGCTGCTGCTGCGGCGGCGGCGGCGGCGGGCCATCGCGCCCCCCGTAATCGCCCATCTCCTCGTCGCCGTCGTCGTCGTCGTCCCCCTCGTCACCGTCTTGCCGCAGCAGCGGCGTGTTGGAGCTCTGGTTGGAGCTGGCCGTGGAGGTGATGTGACCGTCGGCCCCTCCGTGGCCGTGGCCTCCCGCCGCCGGCCCCGCCGACGCTGCGTGGTGGGCCCGCTCGGCGTGCGAGGAAGCGCCGTGGCCCGTGCTGGTCGACCCGCTGGCGCTGCTGTGGGAACGGCTCGTCTTGCTCGCGCTGGCGCTCACGCTGGCCACGGGGCAGGCCGTTCCATGGTGCTGCAGCGCCGGGTGGTACGGCGGGTAGTGCGCCGCCGCCGCCGCCGCGGCCGCGGCCGCCGCCGCCGCGCTGTTGGGTAGAGCGTACCGGCCGGAGTAAGCTACAGAAGCAGCCTGCGCCGCCGGGTGGCCGCCCGGCATGGGGTAACCGTAGTGGTGGTAAAACTGCGGGTGCTGCTGCTGGTGCTGCTGCGGGTGCTGCTGCTGGTGGTGCTGCTGCTGGTGGTGCTGCTGGTGGTGCTGCAGGTGCGGCACGGGCGGGTACTGCGGCTGCATGGCCATGGGCCCTGCGTAGTTGCTCAGCGAGCTGGCGCTCAGCGACGTGGTCTGCGTCGTGTTGGCCGACCCGGAGGCCGACAGCGAGCGGCCGGCGACGCCGCCGCCGCCGCCTCCGCCGCCGCCCATGGCGTCCCACGGCCCCGGCGCGCCCAGCGCCATCGACGGCTTCCCGGCGCTCGTCGCCTCCCAGCGGCCGTTCGCCACGCCGGCGGCCGCCCCGTCCTGGACCCAGTCCCGGGCGCCGCACGGGAGGCCGTTGGGCGCGCCCCACTCCCTTCCGGCGGCGCCGTTCCCTTGCCACTCGCGGCCCGCCACCGCCGCCTGGCCATTCGCCGGCCAGCCGCCCCCGGGTCCGGCGGGCGCCACGGCCGCGGGGCCGGCGCAGGAGGCCTCCCAGAAGGCGCGGACGCGGGCGTGGACGTCGGCGAAGCGGGGCCGCTTGGCGGGCGCCTCCTGCCAGCACTCGCGCATCAGCGCGTAGACGCAGGGCGGGCAGTCGTCGGGGCACGAGAGGAGGCGGCGCGCGCCCAGCGCCGTCACCACCTCGGCATCGGGACGGCCCCCGTAGGGCCGCTGGCCCCAGGAGAAGACCTCCCAGAGGAGCACGCCGTAGGACCACACGTCCGACTCCGGGGAGAACTGTCCGCGGAACACCACCTCGGGCGGCGCCCAGCGCACGGGCAGCGGCGAGTTGGGGCGCACGCGCACGTAGTCCGAGCTGTAGGCGGCGCGCGCCAGGCCCAGGTCGCAGATCTTCACGTGGAGACGCTCGCACACGAGGATGTTGCGGGCCGCCAGGTCCCTGCGCGGTCACAAATCGCTCGGTTGGGATGGTGCCTGCGGCCGCAATTGTGCAGCCACTACCAGTGAGTGGCTGCTCACTCAGCGTGTGCCACACAGGGGGTGCCCTTTACACTTTTTGAGATGAGAAATCATTATTGTTATTGTTAATATTACAGGCACTAAGGGCCCTGCCTGGCCCTGCCCTGGCCGGCCCTGCCCTGGCCGGCCCTGCCCGGCCCTGCCCTGCCCTGCCCTACGCGCGAGCGTAGACTCACCTGTGGACAAAGTGTCGCGAGGCCAGGTACTCCATTCCGGCCGCCACCTGCGTGGAGAAGCAGAGCAGCTCGCGGCGCTCCAGCACGGGGAAGCCGAGCACCTCGCCGCCTCCGCCTCCTCCTCCTCCTCCTCCGCCGCTCCCGCTGCCGCTGCCCTCCTGGTTGCTGCGCCGCCCGGCCGCCGTCGCCGCCGAGATGAGGAACTCGCGCAGGTCGGTGGCCCCGCCGGCGCCGCCCGCCCCGCACGCCGGGTACTCGAACACGAGGCACGGCGGCTGCTGCTGCTGCTGCGGCGGCGCCGGCGGCGGCGACACGACGCCCAGCAGGGCGCACACGTTGGGGTGCGCCAGCGCGCCCATCAGGCGGGCCTCGTGCAGGAACTCCTGCGAGCGCGCGCGTGCGGTGGCGTGGCGGTCAGCGCGCTGCGCCCCAAACCCCCGGCAACCCGGGTTCGGTTCCCGGGTTACGCGGACAAACGTCGTTGACGATTGTTCGAACCGGTCCTGGGCCCCCCCCCCTAGGTCGACTCGGCCTCAAAGGAGTACCTGTCGCGATGTGTAAACATTAGCGCTGGGGAGAAAAATGCGGCTGAGGCCACCACTTCAATGCCCTGCTGCAGTCCAGCCAGGGGAAGGCTCACCAGTGGCAGCTGTCCCGGTAGCGCACAAGATGTAACGCAGCATTTCCCTGCACCTACTTTGGCTGCCCGCTCTCATGAGAATTAAACGTTGGTTTTGACCATCATACGTCGAAAATTACTCTCATAGAGCAGAGCGGCTAGGAGAGTGCTGCCTTTGACTGCGTGCGGGCCAGACTGTCACTTGGAATGATCTCAGAGTTACATCCGTGATTATCCACTTCCGTGGTCCATTCTCCATCCCGACGAGTTGCACCGCCGTACGAGAGATCCGATTGTACTCTGTCTCGTGACGAGAAAGTGCAATCCGCCTGAAATTGTGGAGGAGTAAAAAAATAAAAATCGCCCTAAAAAAACTAAACAAAAACTGGAGACGTTTGTAAATGGACGAGCGAGCGAGCGAACGAGCGGGCGCGGGCGCGGGCGTGGGGTTTCGAACCCCATCGCTGTATGGCACACGACGGTGTTCCTCCGCTGCTTGCCGGTATCGCCGAAGCCCGGAAGCGCCCCACCCCCTCCCCCCCCCCTCGATTCAAGAGACTCACAGAAACCATCACAACGAGCCCAGCGCCAATATAAAGTAAGTGCCAAAGACTGTTACTTTCGTCATCGTCATCACCATCGTCGTCGTTTTCACAATCACCGTTAACACCATCATCATCGTCATCAACGTCGCCATCATCATCATCATCATCATCGCGCTCGTGCCGTTCTGTGCGACCTGCACCTGCCAGAGTCGCGCGTCGCTGGGGTCGCGAAGCGTCTTAACGGCGACTTGCTGGGGGGCGGCCGCGGAGCTCCCGGGATGCTGGGGGGGCTGGCAGGGCCCTCCGGCTGACGAGGGCCCCCCGGGCAGGTAGAGCACCCCCCGGTAGACCTTGCCGAAGGGGACCTCGCCGAGCTCCTCCAGGATCTGCAGCGACGAGGGGGGCAGCTCCCGCAGCTTGAGCTGCGGCGACAGGAAGCCAAGCAACACGACGCGAGAAGGTCAAGATGCAGCCCCGCGCAATTGCTCGCTCGTGCCGCCGTCGGCAGAAGGGGCACACGTGCACCGTAGGGAGACCTTTCAGAGGCTGCCTGGCTGACTCTTTCGCGTCGGCCCGACGTCTCGGAGGTGGTGGGAAGTGTCCCCACGCTTTACCCCGCGTTAGGCAATCCGATGATCGACTGTGAAGTACACGGCTGGGGAGCGAGGAGGCAGCAGCCGGCAGGATGAGGGAAGTTTTAGGAAACCTGCCGCCCCATTGTTGCCACTTCCACACCGGGACATGCAATCGAACGTGTGACCTCGATGTATGCTGAACTAATTTCGCAGCATACGTAGCCAACCACGGTAGATCGGAGGTGCGGGGAAGGACAACAAACTAACACAAAAAGCAGTTCTTAAGAAATGAGTTTTCATTTGCGAGTGCGGTCATGGTAACCATCACAGCAATGGAACAAAATATAAATACATATTACACATGCAACAACGTACTATATATAAATGCATTCAAAGGAAATTGATATTTCGCTGGAGAAATCCACGCACGTGAGAGCCAGCTCCTTGGAGCTTTCTGGGAAGCGTGCGTGTTATTCTTTCTCTTCGGGCCGTTCCTGGAAATCTTATTTTTTGGAAAACCTGCGGCTGGAGTTGCCGCAGCAGGTGAGAGAGAGAGGGAGAGAGAGGCAGGCGGGAGAGAGAGGCGGGAGAGTGAGAGAGGCGGGAGAGTGAGAGAGAGAGAGAGAGAGGCGGGAGAGTGAGAGAGAGGCAGGAGGGAGAGAGCCAAGCGAGCTCCCCTGAGACATGGTCTCCCTCTGCTGTGACACGGGGCAGGTACCGCCACCGCATCTGCACCGGCTGGGGAAGGGGGGGGGGCAGTGGCTGCTTAGTACCACCTGGGGAGGAATATGCTACCCTCCCCCCCCATCCTGGACAATGTCATCCAAGGGCAGTGTCAACCACGGGGGCAGTGTCCACCGCGGGGGCAGTGTCCACCACGTTGGCCACGTTCAGGCCAATGGCTCAAAAGACCACACATCCCAGATTGGGATTCGAATTTTATGAACAATCTCAGAAACTTAAGTTCAATTCCCAGCCATAACTAACGTCTTGTGCGAGTGGTATTTGAACAAATTTAGGGCCTCACCTGTCAGCAAACCCTTAATTGTATGTGCGTATGTTGAACTTCTTTCATACCGTACGTAGCCAACCATTCTAATCGGAGGTGCGGGGGAAGGACAACTAAACACAAAAAAAGCAGTTCTAAAGAAATGAGTTTTTGATCTAGATGTTTCAAACGCGCATAGCTCCAGTTGCTTCCTAATTAAAATGGTGCGGGGTGTGGAACCATCAGCACTAGGTATGGTGCTTACCACACCATCCCTTTGTGCACTTAACCCCGACAGTGCCACATTGGTTACACGATGGCGCCTCTGCGTCTGTGCACGCGTGTTGGCACTCCGCGCGGTTGCGCAACGGCCCTCTGGTCGCATTCACTTAAAAAAGGTCCCGGACGCATTTGCCGAGCCCCCTCCGAGGCAACCCGGCTGCTTTGGCAACGCTGGCCCAGCCCACGTCTCGCACAGCAGCGGCCATCCACTCCTCCACTCGCTTCCCAGCAGCAGCCGCCTCGCCGAGCCGCATGAACTCCATCGCAGGAGGGTCCTCCTGCCCAAGTTCTTCTTTAAACGCGCAGGTGCAGCGGGTTGGGCAGGTGCAGCGTGTTGCGATGCGCCCACGCGCGCGTACGTAGAAGGTGGGTGGGGGGTGGGAAGGATTCGCCTGACCCCCGCATTCTCTCTCTCCCGTTCCCCGTGAGATTCGGCGCGGCCCCGGTGAGGCCGGCCGCGCTCCGCCACGCCATTAAGCGGCGCCCCGCGTGACCCCGCCACCCGTCTCCTTAAGTGCCTCCACGTGTCGCCGTGGCCACTTATCTCAACCATCTGCTCCCGCCGAGGAGGAGGAGGAGGGTGTTTAAGCCAGAACCCGAGCTCCGTCACAACACAGGGGCGACTTTCGTGTAAATCGGCGCCCATAAATCCCCGAGTGGACGTCTGACCGAGTGGCCGGGGCCGCCGGGACAAACGGGCGCAGACACGCGCGTGTGCGTGCGCGTAAACATCCGTTAGCGTGTCGACCTCCCGGGCGCGCGGCTAAACGTTCTCGAGAACGAGCGCCGACCCCGCCAGGGCTCCCTCTCCCCCACCTCCCCCCTTCGCGGGTACCCGCAGCAGCCCCAACACATCCTCACCGTCATCGGTAGACATGGCCCATCCACTGCTGGATGACGGCCTCCCGAAGACACTCTCAGCCCCCGCTAGCGACTTTTGCCACCCGGGTCCACTCAGCCCGAGCGATGGTGTCCCCAACTCGGCACGTTCACTCGGCCTCGTGCTCGTCTCCCTGCCGCGTAGTTTAGTTCCCCGCTCGCGACTCCTCCGCTCTCCGTTCGCGCACTTTGCAGGCCTCGGTGCCGCTTTCTCCGCCTACGTTCCGCGCGCCGCAGCGGGAACCGTTTGCGCGCCACTGTGTTGGCAGCAGCGTGCAAGGTGCGGACCGCGAAAACTCACGCGGGCCAATAACGCCGCAAAGCGGGAGAAAACACCGACGCACGGCAGGCGATGTCCTGTGCAGTGGCGACGGTGGCGGGAGAGGGCGATTCATCTCCATTGTCTATCGTAGGACGCGTCGCAGCGAGCAAGCGCAAAGGGTCGTGCGTTCGCGAGGAGCGGGCGAGGAGGTGTCGGCGCGCGGGAGAGCAGCGCCGGGAATTCCGCGGGCGGCACCCTCGCGCGCAGGGGCCCTTCGAGCGGGCGGACGAGCGAGGAGCAGGGCAGGCCTCTCCTCGACGCCGGCTCAACGCTTCAAAGCGTCCTGCGAAACTCCGCATACGAGCTCGCAGCCGCACGCACGCAGCTGGCACGTAAATCGAAGTGGTTGAGTGGGGACCGCGAGTGTAATCAAATGCCGGAGGTGTATTTATGCGCCGATGCCGATCGTTTCGCCCAACGTCTGTTTTTGCACTCTCCCCAGTTGCGAGACGGTTCTCCCAGCCACGAGCACCACGGGGTTCACTGGTTCCTTATTGCCATGGGGCGGAGGGGTGGGGGGGGTCCGCCGCTAACACCGCGGCACCTCCGCCGGAGCGCGTGGGGCCAGGCGAGTCCCGCCGGATCTGCACGCTGCGCGAAGGCAACCGTTCGGGCCTCCCTCACCTGCTTGTGCGGCGTGAGCAGCGACAGCTCCATGTCGTGGCGCGCCACCGGCTTGGCCTGCGAGCGGGGCGAAGCCGCCGAGGACTTGCGCTGGTTGCGGCAGACGCAGACGAGGAAGAAGAGCAGCGCTACCAGCGCCGGCACGGCCAGGCTGGGGATGAGGATGTACACGATCTCCATCTTGTTGTTCTCGCGCGGAGCTGCGCGCACGCACGACAGCAGCAGCCACGGTCACTACCGCGGGTCGCTGTTCCCGCTCGTCGATTTCCCCCCCCCCCCACCCGTGCCGAGGGCTCGACACAGACTCCATGTACTTCCTGGTCAGCCGAGGCCTATTAGTACTGTACACCCGGCTGCGATGAAGTCGTACACAGCAATAACGCACCTCTGGTTGGCACCGTTGGCTACGTACGGTGCGAAAGAAGTTCAACGTACGTGTTCATACCGGTACCAGATCTCGGTGCAAAAAAGTTTCCTGCCGCCTGAATGCAGCCCTGCGCCACGCACTCAACGATGATGACAACAGCGACAGACAACAGCGACGATGACGACGACGACATTGTCAACGACAGACATCAACAGCGACAACAACAACAACAGCGACGACGAAGACGAGCGGCCGCCCATTCACCACCTAGTCGACTTTTTTTTCTTTCCCCACAGAAAATTGCCGGCGTCGCTCGTGTTGCCGCTGGCGGGGGCACGTGTTGCCAGCAGCAGCAACACCACCAGCAGCAGCACCACCACCACCAGCAGCAGCAACACCACCACCAACAGAACTTCCCATTGTACAGCTCCTCACACTTTCTCTACCGCCCAGCCCTGTGTAGACAAAGATCAACACAGTTCCCCGGACAGCCTGCACCACGCCGTTGGGGAAAGTGCTGTTGGCGAGCACCGATGAAGGTCGGCATGGCACAGGAGGGGCGGGTGGTGTGTGACCGGCACCGCACCCTGCTGCCTTCGTCTCCCCAAGACCGATGTTTTACAACAAGGCCCCACCGCCCATTTAAGGCTGGGTTGCCAGAGTCGAGTCCCAGGACCGGTTGAGATACTCGCCACCGACGGGGCCCCCCAGGTGAACCTGGACAGCGGGGGGCGGGGACACACAGCCTCTTGGGGCCAGTGCAGGACCCCCACTCTCTGCTCCACGTTGATGGGAAACAAAAAAGGGGGAGGGAGGGGGCGATCAAAAACGCGCGCGAGGCTCTGAGCGGCGGCGGAGCGCGGATTCCTTTCCTCTCGCTTTTGAACCGAACCTGGAAGATCTGGGCACGATGGGGGGGGAAGGGGGATCATGAAAATGTGAGCGCGAGTGCAAAAAACCAGACCCCGCACCCATGCTGTGACAACACTTAATATTGAGGTGCACGTAAATTTGAACTTGTGCAGTCTTTCTTGTCTCTCTCTCTCATTCTTCCCCGGCTGTGTCTGGGCGGCTGGAATTTCCGACCGGGGCCAGCGTGTCAGCCCTCATCGGGAGAGGTCATCCGTCAAACGCCGGGCGGGCAGCAGACTGAGCCACAGCTGCACTGGGTTTTCGATGTGACCTACCCCCCCACCCCACTCCACCCCCCTCACACCCCACCCCCCCTCCTCCTCCCACTCTTCCTCCTCACCCACCTTCTCTGGTGTCTCTCCCTCCATCCCCCCCCCCCCCCGCCATGTCTGCTGTAGCTGTCCTTGCGAGCCCCCCCCCCTTCCCTCTGCCCCCTCCCCTCCCCCCCTCATTCCGCCCCTCCCTCGGTTCGGCGCTGTGTGTTGTGGGGGGGGGGGGGGGTGATTCATGGGCAGAACGGGGAGATTGACAGGAGGGGGCGGGGGAGGAGCCCAGATTGAGAGTGACGGGAGGGAGGAGGAGCTGGGATGGAGAGAGGCGAGAGATGGGCGTGGGGCAGCGTGGCAGTGCGGGTGGCCGCGAGGTCGCCTCAAATGTGCCGTTGAGAGGGTGGAACGTGAGGCAAGCGACCTCCTCCACTGTGCCTGGAACCCTGTACCCCCCCCCCCCCCCCCCCCCACGAACAGCAGAGAGCGGCATTCGGGAGGAAGCGGTGGCTGGGCTCTGGCGGGCGGCCCGAGCTTGCTCAGAATTTACGAGGGCGACTGTGACCGAGCATGCCCGGCGGTAGCCCCCCCCCCAACCCCCGCTGCTCCTTGTCAACGTTAAAGGTGCAGCCCTGCAAATCGCTCGCTCGCGCCACTGCTCGGCCGAAGGGCCTCCCCCCCCCCACTAGAGGGTGCCTCTGGCGAGTCCCTCCAGGAGAAGGTATTTGGCGGACTACTCTTTCCGCGCTGGACAGTTGTCTTCGAAGGAGGTGGTAGTCGCCGCACCTTAGCCCACCCACCGCACGACTAACCGTGGATGTGACCATTTACACCACTGGATGGACAGAGGTGATCGGGCGGGGGTGAGGGGGGCGGAATTTAAGAAACTCGTCAACCACCGTTTCAACGGCCGTGCGCGCCGGGAGATGGAGTTGAACCGGCGACCTCTGGATTGCAAGTCCGGTGTGGTGGCCGAATGTCACACCGCCACTGTGGCAGCGTCCCGACAGCCCCAGTAGAAAGTCGGGCGGAAAAATCGGAGACTTTTGATATCCTTCGGGTGGCGGCAGCCGCGGCGTAGCTAATGCACCGCGCGTGCGTTACCAACCCGGCAGACAACCCGAGTTCAATTCCCGGCCACGGTTAACAATCAGTTGCGAGCGATATCTGAAACGGTTCTGCGCATACCCCACCATCAGAGCCACGCGTGTACGTATGTTGAACTTCTTTTGCACCGTGTGTAGCCAACCACGCTTATGAGAGGTGCAGGAAGGGGGAGGGGCAACAAGAGCCATGCTTTAGTAACACAAGCTTGTGCGCGCTGCTCGCTCGCTGGCGACGAGTTCCCGAATTAAAATCTCCGCGCTTCATAACGCGATAACGTAGGGCCCCCTGCACCCCCGCGCCCCCGGAATAAAACTGTGGGGGAATGTTCATTCATGAGCAAATGAAATAATCCCGCGGCCTAGCGCGCAAAATGGAGAAGGTGATCCTGTGGGACGCCGTGGTGGAATCTCCGCCTGAAACAGGAGCCCGTTTGTTCGGCGGAGGATAGAGCTGCGCGCACGCACACAAGCACGTCGGCAACGTTTCTGCTTAAACAGTGAATAATTGAAGCTCCTTAAAAGGGAGGCAGTGGGGGGTGGGGAGGCAGCGGGTCAGGGCTCCCGGCTTCAGGGTCAACCTGCCGAAAAGAATGGGAGGCTCCTCACGGACGACAAATGAGATCAACGACCTTGACTCCGGTGGCTGTGCGCGCGACACCGCTCCTCGCGGGGGCCGGGCAGCCGCTGTTGTGGCTTCTGCCGTGACGCTTTTCGACGTACGTTTACTCCTCGGAAGGGTTCAATGGGCGATAATGTCAGGTCCACGTAATCGAGAGGCGGGAAGTACCGACTGACGTTTAAGTGCTGGTTTTGAGCTGACTTTTAGCGCGGGTTTTTGTATCCAAGTTTTGTGAAACCCTTCCAATCATAAATTTTGATTTAAAGCTTTCGTGACTGCAGGGATGCACATTCTTGGTTCTTTCGGTAAAGTCACGTAGAAGGGAAACAATAAAATAATAAAAATATAAAACAATAAAATTCTCACGACGTTTCGACTGCAACACAAGCAATAATCATCAGGTGTGAAAACCACAGTTGTGGTTTTCACACCTGATGTGGTTTTCACACCTGATGACGATTGCTTGTGTTGCAGTCGAAATGTCGTGAGAATTTTAAACGTCACACCTGATGTGAAAACCACGGCTGTGGTTTTCACACTTCATGATGATTGCTTGTGTTGCAGTCGAAACGTCGTGACAATTGTATTTTTTATATTTTTATTATTTTATTGTTTCCCTTCTACGTGACTTTACCGAAAGAATCATCTTGGGCAACTGTCGGTAGAGCGAGTCGCTAATAGTGACAAAACTTTACACGGGTTTAATTCGTATCGGATCATCTGTATGAGAGGTACCGAAGCTATCGTGCATTATTGCTTTCAACTTTAGTCTAAAAGCGTTATCAAACTGGAACACAATAAAACACACGCACACAATCTCCCATGTATGCGTTTCAGTGTGTACATTTGTTCCACTGGCCACCCATGCCGTCTTATGCCATGGCGGCCTTCATAGGTGTTCGCAAACAGAACTTGCTACACGATGGAGCTTTGTACTGGTATGTGTGTGTGCGCACAAAAGGGATATGGTTTCAGGTTTAAACATGAGATATTCGCATATTTAAGACAACTTTCCATCTTTTGTTTTTAGCTAACCATGATACTTATTGAATGTGTCTTCATGTTGATCACCCAATGCTATGTCGATACTACTCAACAACACATCTTGGGAAAGTTTACATCTAGGCCCTACGACTTTTAAAATTTCCTGCTGAACCCATAAAGCCAGGAACTCATGCATAGCATGCGCGCGTGTATGTGTGCGCGTGCGGGGAGCGGTCGTGTCGTGATTAGCGCACTGCGCTACATGGCCAACACCAGTGATGATTATTTGAACCGGTCCTGGGCCTCCCCAAGGTCGACTCAGCCTCAATTGAGTACCTGGTGCGGTGTGCAAACATCGCCACTAGGGAGACAAAGGTGGCCGGGCATGGTGCTGGACACCCACCCACTGGTGTGCCGTTCCGGCCTTCATAGGTGCTCACAAACAGCACTCGCCCCAATAGTCTGTTCAAGCCATAGGGAACGGGGGCGTTTATCTTTGTGTGTGCGTCTTTGTCTGGATCTATACTTGCGCATTATGGCGGGAGCTAGTTGCCAACGTCGAGGGTCTCCTGGCCACGGACGAGGGGGCTTCGGTGGGATCTTTGTCTGCGCGTGCATGCGTGCGCGTGCATCGCGGCCACTCACAGCAGGCCGGCACGTCGCACACCTCGGCGCGCACCGACTCGTCCAGCGTGAAGCACCAGGGCGCCTCGCGCTCGGCCCCGGGGTTGCGGCAGTACGCGTGGCCCCCCGCCAGCTCGGGGTGACGCGCCGGCAGCAGCGCGTGGGCGTGCGGGTAGTGCGAGCTCCACGGCTGGCACTGGTGGCCCGACCGCGTCACGCTCGCCGTGCCACGGTACTCCACGCCGCTGGCGTTGAAGCACTTGTGGTCTGCCCGGCGGGAGGCGACAGGCTCGGGGTTACGCGGTGGGGCCTAGAGGTCGCGACGACGGTCGCGGCCTGGGCGACCGCCACGTTAATTAATTAAACAGCGAGACCCCTCTCTGCTCACCTGCCCGCCCGCCCGCCCGCCCGCCCGCCGAAGCCCGCTCCCCCCTCCCCACCTCACCTCCCCGGCTTTGTTCACCATGTGGTAAAATTGTAAGCTTTTCTGCTTTGGTCAAAAAATAGTTTTTTCTCGTCCATGCCACCTTCCACTTGGTCGCTTAGTTCATCTTGACTCTGAGAAATTTCCGTTCGGGTCAAAGTTCCGGATGCAGGGACGGACATCTGGCGGCCCTAACTTCTCCGGCCCACTACCCACGAGCATCACTGTTTCATCGGCACCTGTGTGCGAGTTGCAGTGAGAGTTTTCGTTATCCGGTGAGACTAAAAAAAGCGGCGCATTTTTAACGCACTTAAGGGCCGCAGGGAGATGAGCAATAACACGAATGTCAAAATCCTCTTACAGTGTCTCATCGTTCTTTCCTTGATATCGCATCTTTTCTATGAAAAAAATACAATTATCCCCCCCCCCCCCATGGTAATCAAGCGATCAGAACTCTGATCCACAACCCACCCACCCACTCTCCCCTCCCCTCCCACCCACCTCGGTCGATGGGTTTCGCCGCGGGGATGCCCACGCGCACGCAGTTGGCCGCCTCCGGCGTGCCGGTGGGCGGCAGGTCGTCGCAGTTGGGCAGCCGCAGCGCCATGAGCAGGATGTGCGAGGAGCGAGCGACCGCATACTCGGCGAGGCACAGGTCCGTCTCCAGCGCCTCGCACTCGTCGCGGCAGAGGTCGCGGGGCCGCGGCACGGGCGAGCGCTCGTCGCATGACGGGAACGCGTAGTGGCACAGCGACGGGATGGCGAAGCGCGAGCAGCGGTCCGAGAGCTGCGTCGCCGTGCCAATCATCGTCAGCGCCGCTGCGCGCGATGGGGAAGGGAGCGGGGGGAACGATGGAGAAAAGGCAAGTCTAATTAGAGAAAAGGCAAGTCAAATTAAGTTTAAACCGGGGGGCGAGGGCACAAGGGACCAGGATGAGTCTCGTATGTAAGAGTGACATGGGTCACCAAAATGATAAGAGCGATGATAGCGATTGATGACCGAGTTAATGGAAAGCACAGCAAACAAAGACGATGGTGAAAATGTATTAAATCCACCCCTCCCGTCTCTTTGAGTGGGATCGGGGGAAGGGGGGGGGGAACGTGTGGTGAGGTTATGTGTGGGCAACTCCCACCTCTTCCAAGGCATCTGGTAAACTGTGGAAGAGTAGGCCAAATACCCTCTCTTATGGGGGCTTCTCTCGATAGCAATGGCAACGAGACTGAAACCAGTCTGGCGAGTAATGAAAATGAATCAAAGAGTAGGATTGTCTAGGATTTAATGTCGTGTGCCATCTGGCTGTGGCCGGAGGTTTTTGGCCTAACCTGGGAAGGTGGGGGGGGGGGTGGAAGAGAGCTTGCTTTTGCTGCTCGGCCTACAAAAGTAAACATTTGGCGAGCGCAAAAGCACGCGGGGGGCTTGTTTTCGTCCTCCGCTCGGATGGGCGCGAGCGCTCGCCCCCAGGAGTCTCGGCGGCGACCCAATGTCGGTTCGCACCGCCGGGTGGTCGCGCGCCCACCGCGAAAAAGGCGGGGAGCGCAACGTGGCCGGTTATATCAAAAGGCGCTCCACCACCCCCCCCCACTCCTTTTCATAACACGTCGGCTCTAAGACCGAGGAGACAGGGCGGATTTCTTCTCCACAACTCTGGCTTGTCGCCCGATGATGCTGGTTGTAGTTACTGGCGAAACGCCGTGCTCGAATTGTGAATTGTGTGGGTTTTGTGGGTCTCCGAGCACACCGATGTGCCCTTAACTAGTAACGACTTGGCACGCTTCATTCACGTGACAAACCCCTGACCGATTGGCTGTGTCGGGCTCCTCTCCCCTTCCTGAATTTGCGGTGGCTTTGGCCCACGCCCGACGTCAGAAAGTAAACCGATGGTCCTGTAGTTAAACCGGGACATCAAGCTGTGGACAAAGCCTGATTTGGCATCGGCAGAACCACTGCCATTTTGACAAGCACAGCGATCGTCCTTGCGAGCGCTCGGGTGGTGTTTTTTGGCATAGCGCAACACCTTGTTCGTTACATTCCCCCACCCCCCAGGTTTTCTCCTGGAATTCCGGGTTAATTTTTTTTTCCTCCCGACTAAAAGGGCACTTTTGCCTGGATTGTCCGCCTATCCTCCGCTCTCTCTCTTTCCAAGCCATCGCCTTTGACGAAGGTGTTGCGATTTCTTCGCCAGTCGTGCAACAGCGCCAACGCAGCATCACCAAGCCGTTCGTTTAATTCCAACACAGGAAGGAGAGAGGTTGGGCAATTTTGTTGGCACCGCCTCTGGCTGCAATTTTCACTTGTCTGCGGTTTCCAGATTCAATCTCCTGGCTCGGCACTTGAAACATCGGTGAACGTTTCTTGAATTCCCCCTGCCTGCCCGCCTGTCTCTGACCACCCAGCAGTGTAAACGAATGCCCCCGCAGTTAGTCTGTAATGGGCAGTAAAAGCACGTGTGATGGGGTAAAGCACGTGTAAATATCTCAACCTCTCACCAAGATGCCTAGTTAGTGGGGAAGAGGAAGGAGCCAAAACATCGTGCCACCTCCTCTGTGACCTTGTGGTCACAGCGGCATTGAAGGAGTCGACCCAAACACCACTCTGGAGCCCCCTTTCGACGAGGCCCCTTCCGCCAGCATTGCCATGGGGCAGGCAATTGCAGGGCTGCGCCTTCACAACCCCGTCCGTTGTGAAACCGTAGGAGGCGGAGCGATTGCCCAATGGCAATGTTGCGCTGCGCTGTAAATTCGGTGACCCCAAATTTCAATTTCCAACCACAGTTCACATCAGTGGCGAGTGACATCCGAAGCGCGGAGGAGAGAGGGGGTTGCCAAAGGTCTGTACAGACATATGATTATGCTACTGTGTGACACACACACACGCGCACGCATGTAATGATTTTAATGCCTTAAGAATGTGGGATTCTAGCGCAGCCAGCGTTTATTAATGTACACCACGGGAAGGGCAGGAGGTCGTGCATGTTTACTGCTCTGGGAGCCCCCAAATTAATGCAGCTGCTCTGCCGCTCCACTCGCATTATCGTTTAAATAAAAAAACGTAAACCCGGGCCAATAAAATTAATGCAACGCAGAATGACCGCCGAGAGTCAGGGGATCCGTGGCACCGTCCTCCAGAAACCACTCACAGCAGACATGAGGAGGCTCCCACACGCACACACACGAGGCAATGATCCCCCACATATATCCTTGACAGGCTGTTGGGGCAGATGGTGTTAGCAAGCACCGGTGAAGAAGGCCGGCACGGCACACAAGTACACACAAAGACTAAGTCCCCCCGTATAGCCTTAAACAGACTGTCGGGGCAAGTGCTGTTAGCGAACACCTATGAAGGCCAGAACGGCCCAAGAGGGGGTGGGTGGCCAGAACCACGCCCGGCCACCTTTGTCTCACTAGTGGCAATGTATATACAAATCACCAAGTACTCATTTGAGGCTGAATCGACCTCGGGGAGGCCCAGGACTGGCTCAGATAATGGTCACCGGTGTTGGCCGTGAGAATGAAAACTCAGGTCGCCAGGTTCGCAGCGCAGCGCCCTAACCGCTTACACTCCCGCTCCCCGCAACACCTCACACTTGCGCTCGTGCATATACATGCAGACACACCTGTACACAACACGCATGCAAAAGCATCCGTGAACGTCAACAGTAACACACCGATAAGCAGATATGCGCCGGCCCACATGTGCACACGCGGGCACACTCGTACGCACGCGCGTCTCCCACACATGAAGCCACGTACACGCGCACGCGCACGCACGCACACACACACACAACCCCGCACACGGGGAGAGGGAAAGCCCCTCTGGGTGGGTGCTGTGCGTAAATAAATATCCAAATATGTTAAGTAGCTTTTAATTGTGGTCACTCTCCGCAACAGTTCCACCCCCGGGTCCCCAGGCCACACGGCCGGCGCGATGACGGCTCCTTTGATGCCACCCTCCTCCTCCTCCTCATCATCATCGTCCTTCTCATCATCGTCTGAGCCTTTTGTTTTTTACTGGAGGGGGGAGGAGGGTTAAATTATCCAACTGCCCTGACTGTGCCCAACCTCATCGTGTCACAGGACTCGGGCAGCACCAGCGCCTGCGCAGTTCTCCACGCACTGGGTTAAGGGGGGGACCACGCCGCATCACCGCTATCACGTGGCCGGCGGTCGAGACGCACACGGTGGAGTGGCAGCCAAGGGGAGGGAGGATCGCGCACGACTGGAGCGACGCACCCTGTGGAGATGCAGCGACGGGGTCGGCCAAAGGTGGCATCTCGCACAGGAGGGAATGGCACCCGAGAGAACGTGCCCCGTGGAGACGGATCGACTCGTCCGCGTGCAGGAACGAGATTCACCGTGGCGCCACGCGACCGCGAGAGATAGCGATGGCTCAGTACGGAGGAAGCCTTCACCCGGCAGGTGAGAGAGGGGCTTGTGGGCAGGTGACACGACGGGATGGGCCACCTTACGAGGTCTTGCACTACAAACCTGGCAGCTCGAGTTCGCGTCTCAACATCCCCCTGCAGTGGATAGACAATTATTATCGCCGATGATGATGGTGCCGATGACGATGATGGTGATAACGATGACGAGGCCCACTCACCGGTGATCTGGTTCTCGATCTCGCCCTGCTGCTGCAGGGAGTCCACGTAGATCGTGCTGTTTCCGATGAAGCGGGCGCACGCAATGCCGCGGTATGGCTGACAAAATCCTTCGTCGTCATCGTCATCGCTGTGATGCACACGACACGCACACACAGATCCCCACCCACCCCAGTGAGGCCTCTGGCAGACTGTTGGGGCAAGTTGCCGTTCGTAGCGAGCAACACCAATGAAGGCCGCCACATGGCACATGAGGAGATCGGTGGCCAGCACCGCGCCAGTGCTGATGGTTACACACCACAGCAGGTACTCATTGGAGGGAGAGTCGCACTAGAGGAGGCTCGGGAACCGGGTTCAGATATTCGCCGCCGATGTTGGCCGTGAGCGGGAATCGAAGCCCAGGATGCCGGGGGGTTTTGAGTGCAAGCAAGGACAACGGTCAAGAATGAGAATTGAGAAAATGTTCTGGAGCCGGCCTCGAAGCTTCTCCGTCCGAAATCATGACACTGTCCCCCTATGCTGGAAGGCGACAGGGTCTATTCATTTAGAGGTTGCCACCCATGCCCGTTACATGCGGGGCACGGAGGAGATGTCCCCCGTCACTGCCGCCACCGCCGCCCGATAGGAATTCCGCCAGTAACCGCCTTGAGATTTTTTGCCGCCCGCCTCCGTCGTCCGAGCAGCGACTGCTAATAAAGCAATGCCACCGCTGCAGTCGCCGCCCCCCCCCGTCTCGTAATTGCAGAGATGTTTATTTTCGTAGCAAACGAGGAAATTAAGAAATTAAGCACGGTACACATTTACTGGAATTGGAATTCTCCAAGGAGCGGCGCTGTACACAGTGGAGGGGTGGGGGGGGGGAAAGAGGGAAAAATGACGAGAGCTTTGGCGAAGTAATAATTAAAAGGTTTCTACGAAACATCGCCAGCCTTGGCTCGAGGTTCGCGAGTTTGAGCGCGCGCGGCACGGCCCCCTACACGGGAGCGGCGTTGCCGTGCCCAAACAGCGCTCCCCCCCCCCCCAAAAGACAACGGCCCTTAAGCCAGCGGCGGGGCGTGAGCAAGCGGCAACATTGCAGGGCTGCGCCTTCCAGCCACCACCGGACACGCACGTGAGCCACACGGACACGTGACGCGCAACGCGGTGGAATAAGCTCCGACGTAATTGCACAGGGGCGGGCGGTATTAAACGAAGCTTTCCAAATAAACAGACGCGCGCTCGCCCTCTCACATCCACGTGGAACTAAACAATGGGGGGGGGGGGGGGGGGGGGCCCGGGCCAATCGTGAAATGTGCAAAACGTTGTTGCTATTTAGGCAACAACAAAAAAAACGTTAACAATTATTATGATTAAAAATACACGGGAGGCATGTTGGTCCGCCCGCTCGCCAAACAGAGGGGGGGGGGGGGGGGGTGGGGAAGGAAGTGTCTCCTGCGATTTGGCACAACGTGGATCGGACTCGCCGTCCAAAACCCATCCATCTGCGCGTTTCGTTTTTTCACCCTCGGAATGTAAATTTTTTAAATAGCGCGTTGTGATAATGGCCGTGGGGCCGCCCTGCGAGTCCGAGGGTCCCCTGGGCTTCGCGGAAGCAAGAAGCAAGCAAACAGCGAGGGGGGCGCCCCCCCCCCCCACCGGGGGCCCCTCCCCCCCCCACCCCCGTTCATTCATCCGTCCCCTTCGTCGCGTTTGTGATCGCGTGCGTGCAGCGGCTACTCACTGTCCATCCTTGCCGGAGCTGGGGGTCGGTACCGGTCCTGTGGGGGGGGGGGGGGGGGGGGGCGGCGGCGGGGCAGGTATCGGGACGAGATGGGCGACAACAATCAGCGGGGCCGAATCGTGAAAACGACAACGCTCTGCTCGCGCGAGAGGCTGCCGCAATCAGCTGGGTGCCAAACAGGCCCCGCCCCCGCACGTGAGCAGCCATCGCGACACGGCAGCGCGGCTCGCGCACCCTTTACATGGAGAATGTTTTGACTGCGTTATCCGACAGTTTTAATCCAACCGTGATGTCGGCGTCGCGTGTACCTCCCCCCCCCCCCCCCCCTCCACGGTCCGTTCGAATCTCTGGCAGAGCGGCGCGTCGGGGTGGTGGTGGTGGTGGAGAGATAACGGTGTTTATGCTGTTTCATTAGGTACCCCCCCACCAATTATTCCGTGTGCTCACGGCAGCACGAGATTCCTAAAAAGCTGCGTTTCTCGGGGGAGGCATCCTCACTGGGTGTCGTTGTGGAGATTTCACGAATTTGACCACGATCGTCTCTCATTGGGGTCAGCCGTGCGGCCCTCGCTCCGATTAGAAACAGAAGCAGTCGTCCAACCTCGTTGAAAAAAAATATGCCTACAAAACATCTTCCCATCCCCTCTCGCTCACTCGCTCGCTCGCTCGCTCCTCTCTCTCTCTGGTGTTGGGACTGTTGCTCAGGTTGGGAGCGTTGAGGAGTCCGTGTGGATAGCAACATCCGCGGCGTCACAACAAGGCGATCCGTCGCCCCTTCGGGTCGACAACTACAGGGACCCCTCAACGCTGCTTCCTCCTCCTCCTGCTGCTGCTGCTGCTGTTGCGATTTATGGCTCCCCGCTTGCGTCCAGGCGCACGAGGGACTCAGGATCCTCGGCCTCAGGAGGTCTCCGCCGCACACCGCGTCCCATTCGCGAAATGTGCGGGCGCGTGCCGTTAGAAGTCGCGTTTATTCCTCCTGAAGTTATCATTATTGTTGTTGTGGTTGTTGTGTGCCCGTCCGATAAACACGCGATACGGACTGTGCCTCGCCTCGACTTCTTCCACCATTCCCGTCCGTTACGTTTGATAAATGAGGTAACTCCCAAGTGTTTCTTTCTGACCGTGAAAGGGAAGGGAGGGGAGGGGGGAGGCTGTGGGGCCGGTGGAAGCGTTCGCGCATCGAGACGCAACCTCGGCACGGCCTGCGTCCGGCTTCTCTGTGGCGGCGACACCGCATCGAACCTCGGCAAATCATCTCCGCCGCGAGTTTCTGGCGCCCGGTAGTACGACGGAGGGCGTCTGACAATCGATCGATTAAAAAACAATAACACCAAGCACGTGCAACAGACTCCGCCGTGCCACGTGACAGCACCAAAAAAGCAATGGTTTTGTTGTCCAAAGTTCAAATTTTTCCCCTTTCTCAAAAGCGTACCAATAAAAAAATAAGAGTTATTATTTTTTCCTAAGCCGAGGGGAAGAGAACGGCCCCGAGGGAGGCATCTTAACGGCCACGGACGGCGGCGGAGCCACGACGGGCGAGAGTCGGCGAACGACGAGAGGGCGCAGTTGAAACATAATAATAAGAGGCGCGCCACAAGGGGAATTTGGCTTTTACACACAACAGCCATCGTTATTACGCATTCGCTCAAATATTTGCTGGCGAAAAGTTTCCAAACTTCTCCACTCAACCCCCTACCCCAATCGCAACTCCCACTGCCCGACCTCCCCACCCTCAACCACCACCCCCTACCGCCCCCCCCCCCACTGCCGCACCCTCCACACCCCCCACTCTCCGCGTTGGGTCTGACCGTCATGGCCAAAAATGACAGACTGCTCCTCGGCTATCAAAGAACACTCGGAAAACACGGATGCGCGGCACGGGTGCTTGCATCGGGCAGAGACGGCCCGCCCCGCTCACCTCGCCCGCTCACCCAACCCGCCCGCCCACCCGCTCGCTCACTCGCCCAGTCCCTCTCATGCTCGTGGTTGCTCGCCACCAAGTCAGTTTTATTTACTTACCAGCGGCGAGTCCGGGGGCGCCGTCTCAGAGCGAGCAACGCGAGCGCGACCCGAACACCAGCAACCCCGAACCTTCGCGAGCGAGCGACGACGACGACGACGACGAACAAACGCCGGCGGGCTCACCGAACTTGACGAAGAGGATGCCCATGGAGGAGACGGAGCGCGGGCCGCTCGTCGCCACGCACTGGAAGTAGCCCGTGTCGGTCGTGTGCAGGTTCTGGATGCGCAGGCGCGAGCCGAACGGCGTTCGGCGCACGGTCACCCGGCGCGGCTCCTGCAGCACCGGCGCGTCGTTCTTGAGCCAGCGGAAGGTGGGCGCTGGCTGGCCCGCCACGCGGCAGTTGAGGATGGCGGTGTGGCCCAGCGAGCTCGTGATGTTGTTCATCGGCTCGAGCAGAGTCAGGAAGTCGCCTGAGAACGGGACGGCGGTGGGGAAATGAGTCGTCGCTCGCACGTCGTGCCGGCCGTCTTGGCCGCGGTCGTGGCCGCGACGCGTTCGTGGGGCGTGCCGTGCGCGTCGGTTCGGCGTCGGGACGTTTCGTTTTTCCGGAAAAGCTACGGGGGGCGCGCGGAACGAAGCTAAATTATTTTATGTAACTGTCAAACAACTTTTTTTGTTTATTTTAACAGGCAAGGCTCGAAAAGTCGCCACGCGGTACGACCCGAACGCTACGGTGTCACGCGATGAGGAATTCGGCGTCACGCGTCCAATTATCACTGTGGAAGTCGCCGGGTAGCTGGTAAAGGCACCTCATAAGCGCAAATTGCTATTTGCATAGGTATCCAGGTTCATTAAATACACACCCCCCCCCCCTGAATACAAACTGTGCATACACACCACATAAACACACTACGTACACACACTCCACACGTACAACCCCAGGAGAAAAATTCACCGTGCGCACACAGCGAAACACACAAAGACACACGCACGTGCACACACACACATACATTCACTGTGTACATGCGGCACGCACACCGACACACCATCATGGTGATAAAACCACGGCACCAAAAACCAATTCGTTGGCGAGGAGCAAAGCAAGAAAAAGGCAAATCATGAATTGAGTGCAGAGCCGTTGACTCGCTCCTTGTGCACCGCGCAAGTTCCACACACGGACTGTTGCCCACAGTCCGGTTTAGTGTCGGGAGGAGCGGGGGGGGGGGTAGAGTACGAGGGGAGGGGGGGGTAGAGCACGAGGAGTGGGGGAGGTAGAGCACGAGGAGTGGGGGGGGGGGGTAGAGCACGAGGAGTGGGGGGGGGGTAGAGCACGAGGAGTGGGGGGGGGGGTAGAGCACGAGGAGTGGGGGGGGGTAGAGCACGAGGAGTGGGGGGGGGTAGAGCACGAGGAGTGGGGGGGGGGTAGAGCACGAGGAGTGGGGGGGGGTAGAGCACGAGGAGTGGGGGGGGGTAGAGCACGAGGAGGGGGGGGGGGGTAGAGCACGAGGAGGGGGGGGGGTAGAGCACGAGGAGGGGGGGGGGGTAGAGCACGAGGAGTGGGGGGGGGCAATTGCGCACGAGCGGGAGGAGTGGCCAGGGACGTTCTGAGGGCCACGCAAAGTGACCGGGATAGACGGGGGGGGGGGGGGGGGGGGGGCACGGGTGAATTCATGAATCAATGCCAGACGAGCCACTCTCACGGGTGACTGGGTGAGCGTGACCCAGCACGCCACACACACACACACGGAAGAGGTCACACCAGGGTGGTTCATAAGTCGGGTTCCGAGCCGGCACCGCACAGGACCTGGGATCGAATCCAGGTTGTGGCCACCTGGGATTAAACGGGGGGGGGGGGGGGGGGGGGGGGGGGAGGGGGGGGGGGTTCAAGATGTAGCGAGTCGATGGCGTCAGGGCGGTTGCCAATGACCGCGCAGGAAAACCCTCGCATTCGCGTTATTTGTGCACTTAATCAATCTGAGGTCCATCCGTGAGAATTCAAACATCGGTTTGATTGTCATGCGAAGAGCATTGCTCTCATACGGTGGACCAGGTGGGAAAGTGCTGCCCCCTACTGTGTAGCAACAGAGGTCATTTGATGGGATTCTTAGCGGTAGCTCTGCTCTATTCGTTTCCGCGGGCCATGCTCACACACCAAGGGTCACACCCGCTGCTTTGCGTGTACGTACGCAGAACTTCTTTCACACCGTACGTAGCCAACAAGTGCGCACGCTACAGATCCGAACGGATTCTTCTTCTTATCGTGACGCCGATCGCGTGACTGAAATAAAACATCGTGGGGAAAGACAAAAAAAAACACGCAACTAGTAACTCAAAAAAAATTCTCAAATGCTGCTGGGATTGGCGAAACGTGGGGCGCCCCAATTCACAGAAACCATCGCTACCATCCCGGCACCAATATAAAAACGGCATGATGTTTTGTGGCTTGGAACCGAACCAAGAGCGCGCTCTCTCTCTCGCTCTCTCTCCCTCTCAAACTGATTTATAAAGGCAGCCGGCGACCGTCTGATTGTAAGATCTTTTTTACGCATTTCTTTTTCTCTCGCGTACATCAGGAGGCTGCCAGGGGTGCTGTCAGGCTCAGCACATGCTGGGCTTGAAACCCGGGGGGCCGCGGTTTGATTCAAACTCCTGGTGCGGCAGATGAAACGACGGGGGTGGGGGGGGGGGTCAGGGAAGATTCTTAAATCCCCACCACCGTCTCTGTGTCCACCCAGCCAGCGGTGCAACTGGGTTGCACCACAGCGTGTCGACTGGTAGGTCACGTGTGGTCTGGTAAAGTGCCATGCAGCGGAGGAGGGGGGGGGCGGCTCGAAAGCCTCCCTCTTGAAGTGGAGGCTCTTCCGCCAGCAATTGCAGGGGCTGCTCCTTTAGCTTTACGACAGTGGGGACGAGAGCCGCCGTCATCGTCGTCGTCTGTGCGCCACGGCGTGGTGAAGACCTGGCCCTAGCAGGCCCTGCGCGTGCGATGAGCCACGCATCCAGGATGCACGCCGCGAGATGACTTGGCAATTGGCTCTCTCCACGGAGGTGGTGGTGGGGGGGGGTGTCTGTAAACATGACCCGCATTACACAGTGCGAGTACAGTTCTCCCGCTCGCCGTCCCGGATAACCTGTTGAAATGAAAACGGGAGTTTTAAAGAGCGGCGTTTGGGCTTGCCGAGTTTCTGCGCGCCGCGCTTCGCTCGCCGGGATATTTCCACCGTGTCCGGTGTTGCTTTTCATCTCTCTCGTAGGCGAGCGCTCCGTCTCAACTCCGTTAATTTCTGTCCACTTCCTCGACAAGCTTCTACCCTCACCCTGCCCCATCGCAACGATCCCCAGGGCTGGATTAATGTCTGGGGGGGGGGGGGGGACGATGACGACTCAAGGGGGTGCAGAAGCTCAGGGCCTCAGATCATTATAGCCCCGTTAGAAAATAATATACCGAATTCTCTGGATTACAAAGCGGTTCAGAAAACAGGACCAAGAAATAAAATAGATACCGTATTCTCTCGATAATGAGATGCTCCCGTTGAGCAAGAGGCACCCCTGACTTTCTGACCCGGCCCAACTGAGCATCTGTGAAAAAGAGATTCACAGCTAATCGGATTTCTCCAGGATCAATAAAGATTCTGAACTTGTGCAGTTAAGGTACTTCTGGTTCACACACATGCATATAAATGCTTTAAAAATCAGCGCACGTTGGAGTCCGGAGAGTACACTTAATAATGGTCTAAACTACAACGGTGCCCTTTATTTATCGAGCAAAGCCTCACCCCGAGTCTCAAGACTTCTTCGCGACAGTCCTTGGGCTGGGGGTTATTTGGGCAATTCCGTTCACGCGCGCCTGGCACGTGAGGAGGGAAAACCGGCACGCGCACCTGACAGAACGCGCGCGTGGCAGAATCGCACAATCTTTCTTGACCCGCGCAGAAATCCGATGAGGATATTTATGTAGCTATTTGTCCCACAGATGTCCAGTAGGGGCAGGTTAGAAAGTTTGAACAAAAAGAAGGGGGGGGGGGGGGAGGCTACAGACCACCGTTGCCAACTAGTGTCAGCCACCATCTCTCTGGCCTCTCTCTCTCTCTGTGTCATGAAGAAGGGCTATTGCCCAAAACGTCGCCGATTGTATATTTTTTTACTTTCAAGGTCACGCAGTATTGTCGACGGATGTGTCGAGCCCGTTTGTGTTATCCGTGCTTGTGCAAGACGACCAACGCAGCATCATCATCAACACCACCACCACGAGACAACGCCGTTAAATCTGCTCCGGTTAACACATTCACGGTCAAATGAGCATTAAATATTGTACGGTGCTCATAAAAACTGCTCAATGTTGCTTTTCACCCCTTAAATAACATTTCGTTTTCACCAGTGAGTGGCAAACACGGTGGGTAAACTACTCGGAGAGACCCCCCCCCCCCCCAAGACATGAACTGGAGTAGTCAGAAAGTTACAACAAAGGAAGGTGATGTGGGGGGGTGGGGGGGGTATAACGCACAGATAGATCCAAGAAACCAAAAAGGAAAACCACTGTTGACTTCCTCACAAAGTGGCACTCAATTTAAATCGATCCCAGATGGATGGATGGGGGCCCGACTCAGAACGCACCCCAGCAACAGTTGATTGAGCGAGCAAACCGCTGGGCCAGTATCGCCCCCATTCTGGGTCCTGTCGGCAGAATCAGGCCGACTGCAAAGCAAACCGCTGCTGTGCTTGCAGATGCCACTGACAAGGGGGGGCGGGGGGGGGGGGGCGGCAACTCCTCCGCTCCAAACGACGGCCAGCGCCGTTCAACGCAACCGCCCCCCCCCCCTCGCGTTCTCGGGACAGGGTGGACGATGAGGCCCAGGGGACGAGGGTGTGGGGCATGGGGTGGGGGGGTAAGGGGGGGGGGGCTCCCCGTGGTCGTGACGCTGCGAACGTGCGTCACGAGTGCTACTATCAAGAAGAAGATAGAGCCACGGGGCCCCGGGCACAGTATCGTCTCGTCGTCCGATGCGCCCGCACCCCCCTCCTCCTCCTCCTCCTCATCATCATCATCATCGTCCCCCCCCCACCCCTCCCCCCACCATCACGGCGCATTCGCCAGAGGACCTGGCTGGGCGCCGGCGGCCGGGGCGCTTTGATTGCGTGGGAGGGGGGGGGGCCCGGGGGGGGGGCCCGGCTAACAGCCCTCGACAGGCGTCCCCTTTGTTGCAGCCAATTGCGGTCAACCCCTCCGGAAGCCTCGGGACACGGGGCGAGTACGCCGACACTAAAAATGTCCGCGGCAAGATTGATCGTCGCCTCCTAAGAGCTTCCGAGGCATCTCCCCGACGGGGGGACGCGGGGGTGGGGGGGGGGGCAGGAGAGTTTCGGGGGCCATTACTTCATTTTTTATACAGTTTATTTAACATTAAGAGAAAAAGTTGTGTTTTTCTTGTTCGTCTTCGAATTCTTTCACTGCTGCCTTTCCTCCACCCCG